CATCATGGAACTCTGAGGGAAGTGGTGTTGGTGCTCAATCTCTTAATTTTTCAAAGTTTTTAGTAAATCCAGGGCCACCATGTATGGTTGTGTGGGTTGACACCAGGCTAAGTGGCTGAAGCCAGCTCTAGCTAGGCTTACTAAACCTGCTTATGCTGGCGAGTTTGATACCATTCTCAAGTTATCACAAAGATTCTCTGTGGGTTGAGGGACTGCCCGGGTATGACTTCCCTTGAGCCACATGGATGGGTTTGCATATAGCTTAGACTCATTAGCTTGTTAATGTGTGGTCAGTTCCTTCAGAATCAAACACTTGCAGATTCATTCGTAAATTGACTCTTGAATAGATACTAAGGAAGAGGGAAGTTCATGATTGTATAGACCTCATTCTGCAAACTTTTCACTCACTCATTCTTTTATTCACATTTTTCTTCCTCCTTTCCTCCCTAGTAGGCGCTGATAATTATCTGCTATGAGCATGCCAGATTCTTGTCTAGGCGCTTCAGGGACACGTGAGTCAGAAGAACTTTAGTCCTGGCTCTGTAATTTCCTAGTTATGTGACCTTGGGCAGCTTCTACTCTCTGATTTTCACTAGCTCATCTATACAATGGAAATCATAAATATACCTGCCATCTACCTCACAGATTTGAGGTGAGTCCAAGGAGATAATAGGTGGAAAAGAGTGATGGGGCAAAGTTGCTTCAGAAATTGAAAGGATGGAAAGATCTCTATAGTTCAGGTTATTCAGACTGATTCATAGAAGTGGCCTTGAGGAAGGTCTGAAAGTTGGGAGGAATTTGAAGAGGTCATCAGTTAGCTGAACCCAGTAAACACATCAAAATGGTGCCATGGGGGAGGGCTGGAGAGGTTAGGAAGGGGCCATGTTTTTCTGCGATGCTGTGACTCTCAGCACACTCCCTGCTGAGATTTCAAAGCCAGCTGGGAGCCATTGTTATGGGAATGTGTTTATTATTATCATCGTCATCAACATTATTATCATTATTAATAATACAATATTTGGAGCATTTATGCATATTAATTTTAAACAAGCATGTGCAAGTGGCAAGATTTGATGCCACTACCAATAAAAAGTCATAACGTGGATTTTTAATTTACATAAAATCATTTATGCTAATTTAATTAGTCCTTTGTTTACAGCTAAGGCTTACTCACCACTGGGTTGTGAGATGCACTCAACGCCAGCACGCTGCAGAGCCGGAAGCCTGCACAAGCGTCCATTTTGCAGGGATGCTCCTCCTACAGGGAGGGAAGAGTCACCCATTCTTTTGTGGGAAGACACATTTAAATGCAGTAAGTTCTTGTTTATAACTTACTCCCTTCAAGAGACTGTGCTAAGTGCTCCTGTTGTTGACAAATTCAGTCCTGATGACCACCTTGTGAAGAGGATCAGAAACACTTCATGTCTGCCCCAATATCAAACAGCTGCCAAGTGGCAAGGCTGTGAATTCTAGTTCCCAGCCTCTCTCTATGCCCTTGCAACAGCCCTTAAATAAGAAGAGCTAACACGACTTGGGATATTGTATGTTCGGTGTAAATATTGACTGAATAAATGAATGACGAATGAATGAATGAATAGCACCATTCCAGTTACACGTGCTTTCAGGTGTATTGTCTCCCTGACACCTTGTAGCAACCCTGAGAGACAGGTCTGGTCACCTCCATTTTACAGAGGAAGCTGTGCAGTTGGGAATAATGGAGAGACCATTGCACTATGAACTCAGAGTTTGCCCTGTTGATTATGTCATTGATTTATAGCCCGACCTTGGCCTGATCTTGACCTTGGTCAAAGTGCACCCCATACTCCAGTTTCTCCATTTCCCCACTTGCAAGACGTAAAGAAGAATCCCTTGTCTTTCTGATCTGATGGGCAGAAAAAAAAATGAAAGTGTGGAGGGTACTGCGCAGGGTGCCTGGGAGTTATAAGGTGGTATTTGTCAGACTTGCCTTGGGAAACCTTGAAAAATTGAATGGAAACCACTGGGCTCATTCATCTCCTTTTAACAGCCCCATGTCATCCAGGCTGGTCTTTTCCATTCCTGCTCTGTCCAATCCTGACAACATAATTTAGTTCCAGGGAACTTGAATAGAACACAGTGGACTGATATTTCCACGAGCTCAGGCCTTGATTAATACCGGCAGGGCAGCCGCCAGCGAGGACGAGGAGCCAGCGAGGATGCTGTGTGAAGCTCCACCTCCTGTGCTCACTGCCTCTCCCCTACTCAGGAGTCCTCTCTTTCCCAGTCTCTGGAGGCCCCCCTTGCACCCTCCAGGCTCTGGCCCAGACTCTGTTCTGAGTTTCCTACGGGAATGTTTGTTCTTTCCACTGTCCAGCCATTCATTCTGCAAATGCGCTGAGTCTTCACCAGGCCAAGCAATGGGGACACAGAGTTAAGTAAGACTTGCCCTTGCTCTTGAAGAGTTCAATCACAGGAAAATGAAATCCAGTGGATAAATGAGCAAAATGGTCCAAAGGATGCAGCATGTGCTGTGAAAGGGATGGAGCAGTGTGGGGTGGAAAGAAGGAGATGCCCCATTCTGCCTGGTGAGGGGCAGAGAGGGCTTTACAGAGAAGCCAATGTCTAATAGGGAGTTCTAGGGTTAGTGGACTCTCCCCAGGGGAAGGGATGCTGGCAGAGAGGGGTGGGGGCAGCAATCACAGCATAAGTAAACCCCAGAGGGTCGGCGGTGGCAACGGGTCTGGGTGGCTCCAGTGAAGTGGGAGACAAGGTGGGGGCAGGGCATGGAACAGAGACCAGAGAGGCTGGAGGCTGGAGCAAGCCCTTTCCAGGGCAGATATTGGTAGCTCTGGATTCATGGACTTGCTTTTCCTGGGAGATAAATAGTAAGACGTTGAAGGATTAGTGAATAGAGTCAGAAGGCAGATAAGGGGAAATTCCACAGTATCCTGATTTGGGGAAAGTGGAGGCAAGTCTCCAACACTAGAAGATTGGGGGAGTGGGTAGAGGGGAAGGGCACAGGGCAGATTTTCCTTTCATTGCATGACTAGGGGCAGAACTGGCACTCTTCTGGGCAGTCTTCTGAAAACAGTATGCGCATCTCTTTCTTGTGGTCTTCGCTCAAAGGACCCACCCACCCAGAGCTACCTAAAGACTGCTATACTCAGGCTCCTTTCCAATTTTCCTCACTCAAGTGCCTTTAACGACTGTAGTGGAGACATGATGGCCCTGTTGTGAGGGTGGCTCTGACCCTGCCTAACAGCACCTGCATCGATGGCTTCTTTCCATGGATATTAAGATTCATTGTTCCTCAAAATCAAATATTGACCTTGGCTTTTTGTCCATCAATATGCGACCTTTCAAGTCAATGAACCTGGATATGCTAGTCAATGGTTATTATTGTTTCTCCTGCCATGAATTGGGAGTCTCAGACCCCAACACATAGGTTAGACCACAGTGATGATCTGTTTACAACCTCCTGCACTTGGCATTTGTGATTGAAGCATTCTGGGAAAGGCTGCATGGTTTCTGGGGATCTCTCTCTCTCTTTCCCTCCCTGCCTCTCTCCTTCTCTTTCCCCTCTCTTTCCCTTTCTCTCTCTGTTTCCTTCTCCCTCGCTCTCTCCTCTTTCTCCCCCTTCCTCTCTCTGTCTCTGTATCTCTCCTCTCTCTTTCCCTCCTTCTCCCTCTCCCTCCCTCCCTCTCTCTACTTTCGCTCTCACTCTCACTCTTGTTCTCATTCTCTCTCTTCTCTCCCCCTTCTCTCCCCCATCTCCTCTCTCTTTCCCTCCTTCTCTCTTCTTTCTCTCCCCCTTCCTCCCTTCCTCCCTCCCTCTTGCTCCTGCTCTGGCTCTTGTTCTCATTCTCTCTCCTCTCTCTCTCACTCTAGCTCCCGCTATTGGCTACATAAGTCACTCAGGCTTGCCCCTCCCTGAAACCTACTTCCTTTTCTCATTGAGAAACATTTTTTTCTGTTGACTTCTCCCAAAAGGGCTGAGGATGGCCCTGGTCACTAAGAAGCATGGTGCTCCCCTTTCATTTTCCTAATGCTGAGAGGACATGGATGCCCATAATGGGATGATTGAAGGATGTACTGTGACAATGGATTGCCTGTCTCCAAAGTGTTGTTGCACCGATGACCTCTGAGAGTCTGAGAGGAGGAGGAGAGAGACTTTAGCAACCTGGTCACCTGGGCTTGAATGACTACTCTTCCATTACTAGCTGTGTGACTTTGGGTAGGTTCTTTCTGTTCGTTCTCTCTGTGTCTCCACTTCCTTATTTGTAATACAGGTTGTTATAGAGTCAGTTTAATAATCTATGTAAAGTACTACATCAGTGCCGGGCAAAGAGATAGTGTTTGAGGTAGACATCACTAGCACCTTCAGCCATATCTGATTCTCACTCTTCTAGTCACATGGAAGACAGCCCTTCTTACCCTGCCTCACTTACCCATGAAGTTGAGTGGACCAAGTGCCAGGTTCAGGCCAATGAACTTGGTGTTATCGGTGTCACTTCTTTGTGCTGGGGTGGTGACAGTAAATTTTAGGTGTCAACCTGACTGGTCTAAGGCATGCCCAGATAGCTGGCAAAATGTGATTCTGAGTGTGTCTGTGAGGATGTTTCCAGAAGAAATTAGCATTTGAATCTGTAGACTGAGTAAAGATGTGGGTGAGCATCATCCAATCTGTTGAGAGTTCAAATAGAACAAAGAGGAGGAGGAAGGGTGAATTCCCTCTCCCTTGTTGGGCTGGGACATCCATCTTCAGTTCTTGGACATTGGAGCTCCTGGTTCTCAGGCCTTTGCGCTCAGACTGAATTAGACCACTGGCTTTCCTGTTCTCCACCTTGTAGACTGTGGTTCATGAGACTTCTTGGCCTTCATGCTCCCACGAGCTAATTCCCATAATACATCTCTTCATGTACATCTATATATTTCCCACTGACTCTTTCTCCGGAAAGCCCTGACTAATGTCGGTAGTGAGAAGCCTGTGCATCATTCATAATCTCTCTTTCTTGCTGCAGTGACTGAGAAGGTCGTGGACTGCAGATGGTGCAGCCTTGGTCGGTGAAGAACCTGTCATCCGAGTGGCTGAGTCACCACATGGAGAACACTCATCTGGAACACTGTCGGGTCTGTTGTAGATACTGTGTGAACAAGAAACAAAACTTTAAGTCACTGAGGTGGTGGAGTTATTTATTACTGCAGCATAGCTCAGACTCTCCTGACTAACAAGGTGCTCAATAAACATTAGCGATTGTCACAGGTAGTATTGTTACTATTACCGACAAATAAATGACAGTAGGCCAGTGAAACTGGTGTCATTGGTGTGACTTCTGAGCTGGGGTAGTGATTAATTTTAGGTGTCAGCTCGATTGGCTTAAAGTCTCAAGAAAGTTGTGACAGCTCAAGAGAGCTGGTAAAACATGATTCTGGGTGTGTCTGTGAGGTTGTCCCTTCCTCTGCAGCATGACCTTGACTGCCACCATTGGGAGCTCTTGCTCAATAGCTTGAAGAACTCAGATCCAAGTTGGCTGTGGATTCTGTCCTGGTCTCCTGCTTCTGTGTGATGATCTAGTTCCTGCCTTTCCTATTGCTTTTGCCCCTGCAGCTCTACCACTCCCCCGGGGCTTACCTATTTCTTTTTACTCTATAAAATGGCCATTGTCTTAATACCTCCATCAACCCACCTGATGCAGGTGGAACGGGGAAAGAATGTGGCTTTGTGTGCCAAGAATCCTGGGTTCAAATGCTAGCTTGGCCTTACTCTCCCTTTGTCCTGAGCCCCTGCCCAGGCTAGGAAAAAACCCAAGGCACTTTGTTATTGTGGGTGGTGGCTCTGTGCTCTCTCCATCCCTGACCTAGCAGATCCTCAGGCAGAGACCTGTGTGGATCCTTCACGCCTAGCTCTCAGCATGTGTGAGACCCAGAAATGGAAACTGACTCAAAAGTGAGTGATGTTAAAGGAAAAAAGCTCTTCACCGTCACCTTCATGCATCATGGCTGTCACAGTCACAGAGACTGTCTTCTAACAAAAGCTTGCTGGGAAGGCCAGTACCCACCCAAGGCAGCTCTGTGAAAACCCAGAGGAAGAGTTTTGGAAAGCCGCTGGCCTTGTCCAAGCTCTTCATCTGCAGACAGGGTAGCTGAGGCCCGGAGAGGGAGTGATGACCCCAAGTATCCTGGGGTTGTCTAAGCAAGATTCCAGGTCTGTTGCCTTTCAACCCCGATTTTGTATAGTTTCATCCAAGCCAACTCTCTCTCAGGTAACTTCCAAGTAACCTTCTCTACAGAGAAAAGTTGACCCCTTGAGTGGGTTCTAAAGACAGTGTCATAGGTGGGGCATGGCAGCCTCAGCCTAGGGGCACAAGAGGTCACCTTGACTGGGCTTGGTTGCTGGCTCTACTACTTATTAGCTCTGTGACCCTACTTAGGTGGTAAGCTATTCCCCTCTTTGAGCCTCAGCTTCCTCACCTGTTAGATGGGGATAGTGCTAGGCCCCACATGCAGGCCTACTAGGGGATCTGATGAGATAATTATAGGAAGCATATAGTACCCTTCCTGGCCTGTGGTCGGGCCTTGGTGATACAACCGTCTGCATTTCCATGCCTGCACACTCACTGAGATCATATGGATTCCATGTAGCGCAGCTGTCAAATCAATCATCTTGATTTCCCTCCAGAAAGAGCTGTCACAAGGAGAGAGGAAAGGGTCCTGCAGGCAGAACTCAAACCAGGAAGTGCTCATGGTTCCTCTTTTTCATCTGGCAAGTCCTACTGTAACTTCAGGTCCCATGGAATGGTCGCCTCCTCAAAGAAGCCCTTCTTGACTGCTCAGATGGTTCCATGAGCATGCCTCTTGCTCTCCATGACACAATGCTCTGCTCCATTGCCACTGCAACTTAAGAGATGATTGTGAATGACCTTTTGTCTGTTTTATACCTGTCTTTCTGCATGAGGGCAAAGGACGGACCTTGTTTTGTTTGTTTATTTGTTTGTTTTCTTGAGTTGGAGTCTCACTCTTGTCACTGAGGCTGGAGTGCAGTGGCACACTCACGGCCACTGCAGCCTCGACCTGCTGGGCTTAGGCAATCATTCCACCTCCACCTTCCAAGTAACTGGAACCTCAGATGCACACCACCAGGCCCGGCTAGATTTTTTGTGATTTATTGTAGAGACAAGGTCTCACCAAGTTGCCCAGGCTGGCCTCAAACCCTGGGCTCAGGCAATCCTAGCACCTTGGCCTCCCAAAGTGCTGGGATTACAGGCTGAGTTGTTTTGTAGTCTTATCTCATCAGGGCTGAGTGCAGTACCTATACATAGCAGGAGCTCAATAAATATTTGTTGATAGATGAATAAGTGACTCCAGGCATCATCCTACCACATGCCAGGTTATGATTCTGAGTAAGTCATAGGCAGGGTCCCAGCTTTCTAGATGCATGATTTGCAGGCTGCCTTGCTCTGGAAAGGATTCATAAAGCCACCCTGAAGCAAAAATATGTATGATTGCAAGGTGAGACTCAGAGAGGTTTAGCAACTTGCACATAGTCACCCAGCTGGCTAGCTGCAAATCATGGCATGAGCCCAGTTCTGAGTAACTCGAAAACTCCCTTTTGTCACTGCACTTCCAGTAGATTCCAAACCTTCTGGGCTCTATCCTCAATACTCTATTTTAGCAGGTCTGGAGGCCAGGCTGCTCCTGGGGTGTCCAGGGCCTCAGGTCAGTATATTTTCTGTTTTTGCAGGGAAGGCTGTCTGCACCGCCATTTGAGTCACTCACAATCATGTGCGCACCATTCTGCTGACTCCATCTCATGTGACCCTGTGAAAGAAAGACTTTGCTGGCCAGTGGGCGCAATCCACTCACCAGGCGGCCTGCCTGGTACAGGGGCCCGACTGTGGGCCCTGGGACGACCCCATGTGTTTGAGTCCTTGGAGCGCTTTGGGGCATCTGGCCAACTCCTGAAGGCAGTGGGGTGGGGTGGAGGGGGTCTCTGGAGAAAAGCAACAGACGGGGACTGGGATGAGGGCCAGGTGTGGGGTACCTACTTGGATGGTTCTGCTGATCCAGTTCTTCCTGGACTCAAGAAAATTCCTCAGGGGAACCCTCCTAGGTATGGGCCCCTTGGCAGGGGTCCCTTCTGCCTGGTCCTTAGGGTAGTAATGTCTGGAGCAGACCTGGCAGCCCGAATTTGTTCCAGCATCCCAGGGGATTCTGATGCAGGGGTTCCACAGGTCACACTTTGAGAAACACTGCTCTAGGAGACCAGGACCCCCTCAAAGTGGGAAGGGCTTTCTGAGAGTGGAAACCGGTCAGGGGTGGAGGGGCTGCTTAGGTCTGCCCAGCTTGGTGGCTCTCACCCCCCCAGGTCTCCGCACCGGATGGCGATGTGGCCTCCCATGGGGCCTTCTGATCAGACGGGCCCTTGGCAGGATCCTAATTTGTCTCCTCCTCACAGTGTCAGTATCAGCTTTCTGATGCTGAGGGACCCTGGTAATGAGTTTCTATTAAAAGAGCTGAATCCCGACTCTCGGAACTCAATGTTCAGAATAAACAATGGGGCAGAATCCTATTAAAAAAGGCTTCCAACACGGACAAATTAAACCCTTGGGAATGCTGTACAAAGAATACATTTTTCCTGTGTCGAACCAAGATCAATAGAGAAAAACAAATAATTTCAAGTGGGAGTCATCATAATGACACCCAGGTACAGGCAGGGGCTGGGTGCGTTCTTTTGGCCCGAGGACACCCCGGCAAAGATAATGAGGAGCAGAGGCCTGGAGCTCGTCACGGCGTGAGGGGCGTCTGGGTCTCCCAGGCGTCTGAGCCAGGAGGATGTCGTGTCTCATTTGTCTCTGTCGAGGCTCCCTCTTCTCTGGGGGATGGTGAAACCCACAGAGTTGTGCTCAGCCCACCGAGGCTGTGGCAAGCGGGGAGGGAGTGGGAGACCCTGGCTTTGTTCACGAGGGGATAGAGGATAGATCTTATCTCTGCACAGGCCCGCAGGGAAGCTGTGTCTGCCTCCCCCCCCTCACCAGTTTAGGGAAGTGCCCCAGACATACGCACAGATGCCTGTGTTTTCACCACTAAGCTGTCACCCCTCCTCTGCTCTCCACTTGGGACTGTTCTGTGAATATCACTCTTGCAGTACCTAATTTTGTTCCCTAGAGCTGAGCAGAATCTCACCTATCATTCCAGGCTGATCTCGAGACCCTCCTTCATGAAACCTCTTCTGAATTCTTCCCACCTCTTCCAGATTCCTCATGGTCCAAGTTACACCCTTGAGTGGTACCCGACTGCCCAGCAGGCGCCTTGCCTATCTCCATCCTCCCTCCTTGGAGCCTGACCCAGTGCTGTCGACTGTCCCATTGATTCATCCAGTCAGTGGCCCCTCTTCCAGGCTGCCCTTTATTCTTCCCAGATCATCCCATACTCACTGTGAGCATGGACCCTGTGATAACATCTATGCTGAGCTCTGGGACAGCCAGAGTTGACCAAGACATGGGCTGGGATCCCCTGAAGGCAGGAACTCACCCAAGCCTCTGATTTGGCCTAGCTGTCCCCATTAACAAATGAAGAAACAGAGATCCAGAGGAAGAGAGTCCCCGGGGTCAAGGTCATATCAATGTGATAGAGCCAGAGCCAGAATCAGAACCCAGTTCTACTGTCGTCCTGACAGTGAAGTTGTGCTGGGGTCTTACTTTGTGCAAAGCACTGTTCTGTGCTTTTAATCTGCACAATGGTACCCCAAGTAGGTACTGTATTTTTCTATTTTACAGGTGGGGAAACTGAGGCATAGAGAGGTTAAGTAACTATCCAAGGCTTTAAGCTTCAAGAGTATGGTCAAGTCTTCTGTTTCCAGCCACGTTTCTTTCTCTGCAATACCCAGGGATGATTGTGGAGAGGGGGTCTTGGGGCAGGCCTACCTGGGAAGAGGGCAGGGGCCCCACGGAGGGTCTGGGAGCCTGGGCCACGGGGGGGGGCCAGGAAGGAGAGGGTGACTCTGAGCTGCTTGCATCCCTGGCTGGCTTAGGGCGCACATCCCTTGTCTGGTACCTGGAGCCAGGTGGGGCTGCTTCTCCACGGCTTCTCCTGACTTTTCTGGAGATTACAGTAGCACATGAGCTTGCCCAAGAAAGGCCCTGAGAAGCCCTGCCGTGACTTTGTTTTTTTACCAAGAAGAAAAAAAGAGTTGTCAGTTAAGTCACGACCCAATGTTAAGAGCTGTCGATTATAAACCACATCTCAATTGCTG